CAAATCATGATTCATACAGGCTATAGCCAATAGAATACTTACTCATTATTAACACACGTATTGCGCTGTTATAGCTTGGATTAAAGCATGTCAAGGCCAGTGCAATAATTGTTGCCCAACTTAGTGAAAGTCCAATAAACTATTTCAGGGCAGTGGACAGCTGAAATACTAGCAGTTTGCAAACCCAAGGCATTGGCATACACTTCTGTCCCCCGCAAAAGACAGTTCTGAATCTACTCAGAAACCCAAACTGCTTGGGCAGTAGGGCTTTCTTCACTGTTACTTTTGGCAGGGGTACATATAAACAAGAAACAGCACAAGTGGAGAAGAAGGGACAGAAAGAACAACAGGGAGAAGAAAAACTTGAACAAACATTGGTACTGTAGGACAAAGAAATGCCCTTAAGCCGAGGAAGGAATGAGACATTGAACTCCTAGCTGAAAGGACCTGGTGGAGTAAGAAGGAAAATTGCCTTTGGTTGCTCCTCTCTGTTGGCATTAAAGATTTTGTATTTCCTTCTAAAGAAACTGAATTGCACTAACAATACCTGATCCATTACCTTCATAATCTTTCCCTCTCTGGAAAAAATCTGCAAAGCACTGCATCTTGACTAGCCACTTGGATTAAGAGGATAGTAGCATGTTATATGATCAATATACAAAGTGGGATGGTATGACCTAAGACCATTTTTGATTTTTAACAATGATACTACCACTGCCTTTTTTAGGCCAAAGACATAAGACTCTGCCTGTTAATCATCAGTGGTATTCTGCCTTTGTGGACCTCCTGCCTCCAAAGAGGCAAGGACTATCACACTTCTCCCCACACAATTGTGTTCTCCTTCACCAAACGAGATACTCACCAGCCAGCCTTTACAGTGGGAACCTTCAGTGGGGCTCAGGGAAGTGGGTACCAGCTCCCAGTGACATTCACAAAAAGTCAAAGCAGTGACAGAGTTTTATAAGACTACACACAGAAAAATAACAAATGGAAGAAAGCACAGAGACCACACCCATTCATCCTAAAAGCTGTGCCCTGAAAACAACCTATTTATTAAGGCTGGCAGAAATTTTTTCACACAAGCTGTTTTTCATGGGTAATGTGCGATTCAGCAAAACAACATCTTTCACAGAAAGAACATTTTAGATTTTCATCAAAAGTCTTGGTTTAGTTTTGGTTTTGTTTGACAGAAAATGGAGGAGGGGGGAAGGAGGAGGGAAGCAGATTGGGGGGCAAACCTAGGCAAACCTTACTAGAATGCCCTTACGCTAGTTAATCTGAGTGCAGTCATGGAATAATTCATTATTTCTGCATGTAAAGCCTTTGCGCTCTGTTTCTTGGCTCACTATCAGAAAGGACAAAACAGACTTAAGAAGTATGTTCCAGAACTCAGTGGGACTTGGGGAAACTGCACATACAGTCATCGAGGACAGTGGCACTCTCTCTGTGTGTAAACCCAGCGAAAGCAATCTGCCACTCTCAGAATATGATGATTCAAAGACAGCAGAGAGAGAAGGAAAAGTGATGCTCAAGCTGTGGCACTTTACGGAGCAGGACTGTCGCTCAGCCCAAAAGAAAACTCTTTGGTCTCAGGAAACAACTGTGGGGATACCACACTACCACCTGGGGTCAGCTCCCTCTGCCAGCAAATGCAAACCGAAAGCACGTGTATGTTATGACCCATGCAGGCACCACTGTTAATATATTTGCAACATGGTCACAAACCTTTTATTTTACTTCAGGGAGAGCTTTTTGGAAATGAGTGCAACAAAGAATCTGATCCTTTACTACTTTATTTCACTTTGCCACTGCTGTATTTCTGCTAGAGACAATGGTGTATCTAACATTGAAGTAAAATGGTGATTATGCAGTCCCAACATTTCATTATTAATATCATCTTCCTCCTTCTGTGAAGCTGAACTTCAGCTTTAAAATAATACTTCTTCCAAATTCCAGGCTGGTACAGTTTGATTTGCAAGGTCTTTTTGTAAGAAAAGATGTGATGCATGCAACCTGAATATATACTCTCTAATTCTCTTCTCTTTGTCAGTTTAGACTCTTTAGTTGTACCCATATCCATACTAACTGAGCTGCTAATTAACTTTTAAATACGTTGCTGATAGGCAAATCCTCCTAGTTTAACTCACAAAAATTATATGCCTGCACATGACGGCTGAGAAACTCTACGATTTTAAATAAATCTTTGTCATCAATTTTGCAAAGAGAAGTAGAATATTTGAAATTTCTAGTAGAAGTGAAAATCTAAAATGGCAACTGTTTGGTGGCAAGTTCATTTTAGAAAACTGTGAAATGAGATTAACCTCAAGGCCTAAGCTTTGAAGTACCTGACTTCCTATCCTGCAGCGTCTTGGATACCCACCTACCCTGGGCAAACTGAAAGCTCTCAAGCGGACACCAAGCCGGCAACACCCAGTGTCTATGCCGGGGCTCCCAGCCCTATACCAAAGAGCCTGCCTTCCAGGAAGCCCTTCCCGGGGCAGTCTGTGTGCAGCTGTCCCCAGGGGTCTCAGAAATCCAGAGTCCTTGGCAACGGCCAGCCTTCCAGTTCTGGTGAACCAGACTTTCCGGTAACAAACTGTCATGTCAGAAATTGCCCAGCCCACTAAAATCCAAAGTGAAACAAGAGTTTTATCACACTGGGATTGCTGGTAAAATGCTATTTAAACACAAACCAGAAAAAAACCTAAAAGTGACTGAAAATAACATTTAGCTTCCCTGAACCCACTTCCTCCACACGGGTCGACATTTTACAAATCTATACCCTTACAGAAAACACTATATGAGAGAAAATGCTGAGAAAAGTAACACAGTTTTTAGCATGCTCCTATCAAAACATATGCCAACCAAACTGAACAGAACGTATATAAATAACAACAATAAAAATTCAAAGCAAACAAGCTGGAAATTCCATTACCTCATCTGAAGTTTTCCCAGTCTGATAGATAAATTACACTGTTATCTTGCAGCTATTTACTTCTTGTGCCTCGCACCTATTTCTGACATTTTAAAATGAAAATTGTGCTACAGAGGTAAACTGATGGGAAACTTTGATGAAAGTATATGAGCTTTAGGTCATAATTACTGGGTGACTCCTAGAAGAAACCAAAGAGGTGAAAAATGAAACCGAATTCCAGAAACTGCAGGCTAGATGTATTTTTGCTAACAGAAATGTGGAAAAAAAAATTTCTCTGTTTTGACTATATGAACTAACTAATTTGGTTTACTACTTTGGAGAAGCATGTGTTAAAATGTTTTTTAAAACCTCTTAGCTATTTCTCATATACTCTGATAGCTATGGGATGGTAAGTTTAAACTGAAAAGAAATATCCTCCTTCATCGGCTGGACTGCAAAATTTCAGTCTTACTTATACAGCTGGAAAGCCTGGAGCCTGTTCTGGTACATGGTGTTGATGAAGAAGCAAATCATAGGTCTGTTTGGGCATATTGCAAAACTGTTTCCCAGGCCCTGTCCACTGGAAACAAATGATTAGAGGAGCAAGAAAGGTTCAGATCAAGCTTGCAATGTTTTGACAAAGCTGTTTCTGTCTGTGTGTGTAGACCCTTTTCTTGGGAAGGGTGAAAAATGATAGTCAGGAAAAGCGCCCACACAGTTCAACAAGGGAAATTAGTCACTTGTTTTCATGAACACACCCTTCATTACTCCTCAATGGAATTTTTCTTTTTATTCAGATATAACCTGTCCTAAGCACAGAAAAGTAAGAATCCTGAGAGGATGGCTTCTATTGTAAATATTTTCCATAGCAGCTTCTTACAAAAATGAACAGGTTCAAGCTTACTCTTCCTCTCACTAAAGTCAGTCGTCACTACCAACTTTTGTAAGATCATGACAGATTTGTACATTTCTTCCCACCTACCAGGCCAGAGGAAAGGAAGGGAGCCCTATGTGGAGGGAATCTCTTTTCAAACAGGCATTAAACCTAACATGAAAGTAATACCATTGTTCTTTGGGAAAAAAAAAAAAAAAAAAAAAAACCACTGGAACTCCACAATATAAGAAAACGAGTAACCAAAATCAGCAATGAAAATTCTGAAGTCCATCCTATGCTCAGCACTCCTAGATCATACATTACAATTTCTCTTCTAAACACAAAGATTTTCACCAAATTCATTGTCACTGCTTAGTATTCAATGAATATGGAAAAGCCACGCACACAGATGCTTGCATAAGAAACTACCTCGATTAGAGCAAACTGCTGTCCTCAGCAACTGCACGCATGTATTCCCAGATGTAATATGCCAGGCTCTCCACTTGTGAGAGGGAAAAAGGAAGGGCCACTCAGACAAACAACAAAACAACAGCAAACTATACAGCCACCTTCTCCATCGCCTCAACCATTTTCGATCATCAGTATGCACCTAAAGAGCATTTTAAGAGGGTATGATTATGGAGAATGGGAGGAAATAACATGACAGAAGGAAAAAGGAGCAATTCATCATTATCAGCATAGGCTTTGTTCAGGTACGTGGCCCAGCCTTGTCCTGACTGTACTGGAAGAAAGCCAGGAAACATGAGCCAGAAGCAAATTAGTGTGTCCAACCAAGACACCAGTCTGGACAGCAAGGGGATCAGCAACTCGGAATATGCCACAGCAAGCAACTGCTACACAGTTTAAACACAGCCAGAGACAAAGTGCTCCAGAAACCCTAGCAGAATGGACATTATCACTGCCTAGCAGCACTGTGGTCCCAATGCAGGTGCCTTTAGTGTAGCTGGGCCTTGAAATGTATTACTACTGCATAGTTAGGCCTGGCTGTGTTCAAGTCAACTTCAACTTTATTAGAAGTTCACTTGCATTAAGTAACTTACGTTGTTAGGTCTTTGTACACGTGTTCAGAGACCAATTACAGTAAAGCCAACCAAGAAAGGACATGGTCTTCCAGTTTCCTTAATGTTTTGCGCAAGGATAAAATCTTCTCCCAAAGAAAAGAAGCGTTTTAGTGATACTCGCAAGGCCTACCTTGCCCAAACCAGGGGTGTCTTTCACTTTGCTGACTGCCCTCAACAAACATGGCGGTGCAGGGGGTGGGGATGTCTGAAGGATACTGCTGAAGCTGGTAGAGAAGAGAGGAGATTCAGGAACAGATGATGCAGAAGGCCTGTGCTTCTTCTTTTTGGAAGACAGGTTCAATTTCTGAGCGGCTCTGTGGGAAAAATGACAAGACTAAGCTAAAACAACACCAAACAACAACACAAGCGGTCAAGAATAAATAAAGGTATTTATCAGGTTACTATTTACGTTGGATCTCAGTTTTGACCTCATTGATCCTAACAGTTTTATAATTCTGGTTCTTCACTCATTATTACTAGTTTAACGCCACTGACTTCATAATGTTGCTCCAAATTTACACAGTCTGCATCAAGTAGAGTCACAATCAGGCCTCTGTCACTATCTATCTCATCTGTTGAAACAATTCAGCCTTCAAGAGAGCTCCAAAACCTCCAATTACATCAATGAGCTATACAGAAATTTCTGTTCTAAAATCAAGTTCAGTCACCAAATGATTCACACAGAATTGTTTGTCATTCATAAGCCCCTGATTAGAAAATGAATACTTGTGCAATATTTGGATGTAAGCAGCCACTGTTAAGTTAATTAGTATTAAATGCTCAGGTGAATTTGCTGAGGTGTAAGAAGCCTCACACTAGCTGTTTTTAAATTTTTATCACCTCTTAAAACATAAGCCAGTCTAAAAACCGAACAAATGGTGACCAGTGAAAATATTGCTGTTTGCAATGAGATGAAGACAATCATACCAACTACAGCTGCATTAACCACTAAGCAGGGAAAACAATGGAGACTGTTTTTAATACTACAGTATTCTTAGATAAGAATGCTGAAGTTTGTATAGACTTTGATTAAAAAGCTACGCTTTTCTGGAACAGAAACATTCAGTACTTTTGTTTTGCAAAATGTTTTATTTTGAGACACAATTCAAGATTCAGCCTTTGTTGCAGCTGTTTTGTTCCAACACTTGTGCATTCTGCACTGCCCAGGGATAATGTTAATATTAATCATGCTGTCCCATGGATTCCCTTTTGTAAAACAAGCACTTTAAATGGAGCAGGTCAACTGGAGCACCATCTCAAAGGAGAGATGGATATAACAATTCATGAGGCTACTTTCATGTTGTTTGCTTTGGCAGACAAACTGTGACTTAAGATAGGTTTAAAAGTAGTCTGTGCTGACAGTAGCTCTCCTTACCTTGCTGAAGTGTGACAGTCAAGACCAATAATTCTAAATCCTCCTGAGTTTTAAGAAGCTTTATCTCCATTACACTGGTATCAGTATATATTACCCAACACTGAACTTACAAAAGTAATTGCATTATTTTATTCCAAGGAGTCAGGGAAAAAAGACTCAAAAAAAAAAAACCAACAACTCATTTCAGTATGCAAGTACCTTGTGTTTGTATCAGATGTCTCAGACACATGAACAAATTACTGCTGGGCATGAAATTGCCATATGTCAGCTGGTCGTGTGTGCACCGCCAGTATGTATTCTTTTAGCCTATGGCAAGTGCAAAGCAGTTCCAGATAGATTAGTTTTTAATAAAAGAGAAACACTAGGAGATTTTAATTGACCTGGCAGAGAATTATGACTCAGAATTTTCTGTACCACTTCCTTGTCCTTGTCCTTCCCCTTCCTTCTGGCCTACTGACTGCAGTTCATAACCTGGTCCTCTCTTTTAAGAGTCTGCTTTCTTTTTCGTAGAAAACATAATCAAAATGTGTTGGTCAAAACCAAAGCAAAAAGCACCAATTTTTCCTTTTCCTAGCAACATTTCAATGGTTTGAGAGGATTCAATGATTTCAGCTTCCACACTGTCCGTCACTAATACTTTTATAAAGTTGTCCATCCTGAATCAAGATTTTCTGTATATCATAGCTTCACTACGAAGTTATTTTAAGCAAAATCTTGTACTATGTGCAACAATTGAAAAGACAAATGTTGGCCAAACATACTGAAAAATTTACTCCTGTGGTCAAGCCCAGTAGTCCAGTCTTAAATATAGGCAGTGGCTCCACCCACTCTGGTCATACATCTGGTCTCATTGACTCACCTCAGGTGAAAATACATTTCCAAAAAAACATTTTCTAAGTTGACTGACAGAGCCATTATTCCTCTTGCCACTAAATGCTTCTCCAGCATTTGCTGTTCCTTTTACAAAGCTGATAGTGTAATATGAACAGCTTCTTGACCCACCCAAGCCCATAGCTGGCATTTTCTTGGGGAAAAAACATTGTTGGAGGTACCTGGCCTTTTCAAAACCTTGGAACTATATTCTAGTTTGACAGTTATAACCTTTGAGATTGCATTCAAATGGAAGAACCTGCATTTTCCTTTATATTTTTGGCCTGCAACTGGCAAAATGTATGAAAAAGCAATGAACTATATCTCACAACTTCATGGCGTTTTCTGATTTTCCCCAAGGAGAGAAAATCAATGCATGGCAGACTAGAAAATAATTTACAAGCCCTCTCAGACTTGACTGAATTTTGAAGGGGATCAAAAAGGCAATAAGCCTCAGGTAATTCCCAGAGCATTTAACTGGGAAGAGAAGGATATTTTAACCAGATGTAGACTGCAATATGACACAAACATACACAATGTGGCTTTCCTGTGAGCAGATTTGCGTGAGTAAAATCATTCAGCTTGGGTGGCTAGCATTGCTCTGAACACAGTTGGTCATGCCAGCTGAAGCTGATTTGGCCCTGTGATCTAGCATAGGAGGTTAGAAATTCTCACATTTTACTTTTCAAGGCAAGGCAGCAGCCTGGCTCTCCCATGCAGACCCTGTGGACCACCAGACTTCTCCCAGGCTGGACCTTGGGAGACCTGGTGCCGCTGCGGCTCACGGCCTGCCCAGCCCAGCCAGCAGCTGTTTAGGCTCTGCTCTTTGTACAGGAGCCAGCTAATTTGTTTTCATTTAATATCTAGTATAATAGGACTCTGATTTCCACTTGAGACTGTGCATACTACTGCAGTAATGGTAATGGCAATGATGGCAGCATGGCTTTATGTATTGACAATAAACTGATCATACTCCAAGTTACATTACATCCCACTTGAGCCAAGTGACATCAGCTATGAACTATGCAGGGGCACGCAGTGGGCTCCAGCGCAATGCAAACCACTTCCCCACTGTGCACGGTATGGCTGTGGTAGGGATTGTGTCCACAGAGACATTCAAGGAACTTGATCCAAATTAAATTTTTGAAGTGCATAATTTAAACTGTATTAGACCACTGTGTGGACACGCTCATTCACAACAGAACTGTCTTTAATGTCATTTTGCTGAATTATCTTCCAAAGTAATGCAGATTTAATCCAGTTTAGCTAATATACTTTGGACTCGCACCTTCAGTTAATGTCAATTATTTTTTCCTGAGAGTCCCTATGTAAACAAACAGCTGGAGACTTTTTGAAAGCTTACAAGATTTGTGGCAGAGGAAATAAGAACAAGATCAAGATCTGAGATTGCAGGAGGGGCATTAGAAAGCTGATTAAAGTTCAATCCAAATAAAACTGATGGATTGCTGGCAGGAAAGGGGAACTGCTTTGAATGTCCACCTGATCCATAGCAAAGACTGAGTTCATTTCTTGAAAGGACATTCTCTGCTTTTTGTTTTTTAAAATGCAAGTTTAATAAGGTATATCTTTGGGCAGTCAGAATGCTTTTCATCTCCTGCCTATGCAGAAATGGTGATATATTTTTTCCCTTAAAACTCCATGGGCAGGCTGCAATTTTCAAACACATTCATTGTAGAGCTAACTCCCCTACACTGGAAGCCAATTCATGACTGATATGAGCTTCCCGAAAGCTGAAGAAATGAAGAATCTGAGATGTGAGGGGGGCAAAGCATGCTCTTTGAAAACTTGTCTAGAGAGACGAATGAACAGAAATGGATTAAATAATCCATTTTTGACACAGAACAAAAGCACTGCTAGGGGCGATGCAAAGATCTCTGCTAAGAAAGTTATTCATGCCACTTATAAACAATACAAGAATGAAGTTGATGAAACTCTTTAGAAAAAATAAAAGGCATTATGAAAAGCTCTGTAAATACCTCGCTTAGAGAAGTCACTGGGTAATGGTTACAGTACAACACACATAAAGAAACACTGTGCAAGGAACAATTTGAAAATTCATGGTTTCTAAATTAACTTTGGCTGCTCACAAAAAGCAACTTCAAAAACTGAGCACAAATCCATACATCTACTTGTTACTAAGCAATAGTCAAGGGAGAAAAAAAAACAACAAAACAAAACAATGTGATACAGCACTTACAGAACAATAAATAAAGCCTCCCTGCAATACATAACGCTTGTGTGCCTCCAGCTCAAACAGAGTGGACTGGGACCTCATTTGGCAAAAATCCATGTAGGATCATGAACTTCAGCGAGCCTGGCTATGCCAACTCATGGCATATTTACTTTCTCTCACTTAAGGAAGAAAACAGACACTGCCAAGAAAATTCAAGGGACACCTATTTAGCTTGATAAAAGAAATTATTTTTTCACCAACACATCATCCAAGACAAAATCAAAACTTTAGGACTCACTGTCAAAGTAGAGGTCAGTAAGGCCACCAGGTTCATGAGATTCAGAAGGAGATTAGATATTTAAGTGAATAATTAAAATATTATTCACACTTCTGTCAGCAAAGATCATCACTGATAAGTAACACTGACTCTCACGCTTCAGTACCTGACATGCCCCTTCACCACTGACATCTGAAGAAATTTCCTTAGGTGCATATCTCTGTATAATTATTCATTACTGGAGTTTCATATTACATTATGATGCATCCAGTACTTATCACCCTTGGAAACACAATTCTAGATCATAGGGGCCAATAAGCTGGCCTATCAATTTCTGTGTCAAAATAAAAATTGAAAATATGCTCACCTTCATATCATATTTTCCACAGAGAAAATGTGGAGGCTAAACAGTCATGTACTAGCTAACTTTAATGTAAATATTTGCAATTTTCATTAAAACTAAAAATCTGTTTTTCTTCTTTATTTGGAGGCATAAGCTTCATTTTATAAGACAACTACTCTCTGCTGGGTGCGTCATTCAAGGAGTAAGGTATGAACTTTATATGTGCAAGGGATGGCTTACCAGAGGATATGCTGG